GATGGAACGTTTTTTAAACCCATTGACTTGAGGACTCTTCGTCTGGAACCACTACCTTCAAGACGAAGTGCCAAGCCCGCGAGAAAGTAATTTTGGGATCAAAAAAAACAAAAAACTTCCACTTCAAACTTCAAGCTTCATCTCACTTGGCGTCTCAAAGAAATTTGAAAAATGTATTGCATTATCAGTATTTATATTTCTGCCCCCCCCCCCCCTAAAATGTATTCTTGTATTTGTATTTCCAAAGACTTTTTGCCTCTTTTTAAGATGCATTTCCGATACGTATCGCGATACATTTTACAGATATATTTGAGACTTGAGTATCAGTATCTTAGCAACTATTTTCATCTATCCCAGTATTTGTATTTCCAAATACATTTTTGAATATATCTGCCCAACCCTGCAACGTAATGCAGCTGTGAAGTGTCACTTTTTACGACGAATTAGAGGAATGAAATGGAACGATTCAGCCATTCCAGGAGTGGGAATGGGCCCAGTGTCTCCATTCCTAGGAGTTGAAAGGAATGAAATTATCGAAAGCTCTAATTCCCCGGAATGAATCGGAATGGAATGGGGGTGCCCATTCCGCAACACTGCTGCATAGGCTACGCACCGGATGTGCCTTCACGGCGAAAGCCCTCCACCGCATGAACTCTGCCGTCGACCCCCTCTGCCCAACCTGCAATGTTCCTGAGGACTTCGACCACCTCCTCTGGGACTGCGCGGCGTTAACGAAAGAGAGAAGATCCCTCATCGACGGCCTGCAGTGCGCCGGCGTCGCACATGCCACTACAGAGGAAATTCTTTTTCCTCCGGGTCCGGCCGGGACCGCTTCTAAAACATTCGCACGTCTCCTCACATTTTTAGAAGACACTGAATTATTCGATCGCCTATAAACCACAAGTATCCGACCTTAAGTGCAAAGTGCCAACAAGTGACAGTCATCCACCCCTTCCCTTTGTTTTTATCTCTCTCTCTCTCTTTTCTTTTAATCCGTCTCTCCTCTAACCCATTCCTCAACCCTGAACTGACTCGCCCCCATTTTTAGGAGTGGCCAACTGTTCAGGTTTTCCTTTCAATAAAACGCTTACTACTACTACTAAAGGGGTGATGCAACGATTTTTGTAGTTTGCGCAAATACCGCTTAGAACGGATCCCTAACGTTATTGACCTGTGAAATGCCCGCTAGTTTTTCACCACACGCAATCGAAGTCGCAGAAAAAAATAAAGAAAAACGAGCAGAGTTCACCCTCTCAACTCGCAGCCAGAACAAGCGGCCACGTGATCTGGAGCCGATTATATGCCGCCAATGTTGATCATAGCCATATGCTGGGGTTGGCAAGGCACAGGACACGCGCTGAATTCCAGACATTGTCATGGTTCGGCTGTTGTCGTCATTGCAGCGATAGGACACAGGACACTACCCGAATGCTTCTCGAGCTATCAATAATCACGAGCCCAAATCGAGTGTCCACGCCATGCTCGGGTTAATCTATGATCAGTATTCAAATATCGTCACTGGGCGGTACTGCTACCGCCAAGCTACGTCATCAGGTTTTGCGAAGGAGAGATTGAATGAAACCACTCGGTTTTGTCCTCAAAATTACAGCGCAACAAAGCAGTTTCTTGGTCAGTGGCGTTGCGTGCGAGTATCCTTGACTCCCACTAGTGCCAGTAAGCTCGTGCAGAGTGAAAAACATTCCAATTGAATATCGTTACACCGCCCCTTTAAGCGTGAATGCAGGATATGATGATGTCAATTTCGTTGCGTCTGCTCCCGCACACCGGCGGCTGGTGGCTCGTGGACAGATCGTGCGCCACTTATTGTGGACACTGAAATGTTTGGTTCAGCATCCCTTTGAGCTGCGGGTATGAGTCCGCAGCTTTGAAAAGTTCTTCTGGAGAACGAGCGCACGCGCTCCAAGCCAGTAGCGCGGGATACCTCGCGCTTGCAATTTGGGCTGTAGCCCGCAATCCGCGAGGAGCCGATGCGCTCGCGATTCCAGCAGCTCCTTCGGGAGCGGCGGGTTGGTTGGGTGACCAATTTTCTGCGGGCAATAAGACAAAACAAATTGTTTTCATTCTATAATGCGCGGCCAGTACGTTTGGGTGTTTTTTTTTTCTTTTTAATAATAATTTACTCAGGTCGCTATTTAATAGAAATCAATCATGATGTTCTAGAGGAGGTACGAGCTTAAAGCATTAACCGTTTGTTTAGATTAAACTTAAAAGCAAATAGCGTCTATCCCGTCTCTTGTATTCTTCTATAGTTTCCTCAAGTTGTTCGCTGGCTTTAACTATGCAAAATGCTTACAAACTACCTCAGCTTACCGTCCTTCTGCAACCAACCAATGCTAATTCTTGAAAAATAGTCAGATGAATTTAAGAGTATGTGCAAGGCAAGACGACTTTTGATAACCGCAATGTCAATACAAACGTCGTCAGTCGAAATTGTCTTTTTTTACTGAAAGCACGAAAATTATTATCGCTGAACATCGCCAAAAACCACAGAAATGTTAAAAAAAAACGAAGCGACCATATAGCATTTGCATAGAGAGAAAATAGACGAAGTAGTTGATAATTATAATCCCAATCAAAGCAAAGGCCTGACCCATCGGTCGTAATTTTTAAGCAATCTCAGCTTCGCACTTGTACCACGCAAAACGAAATATATTTGATTCCATTTGGCGCAAATAATTTCGACAGGCTTTGACTTGTGAAAGGCAACAAATTCAGTATAAGAGTATAAGGTACACCTCCAGCACGCGCCCTCAGCCACCCTCGGGGATTTGACTGTCTTTACGAGGAATCTTATCAAAGGCAGAGAGCTCGCAGTGGAGGTGCAGCTTCTACTGATTTCTTATCTTGTCACCGACTAACGAGGGGTGGTGTAAAGACACAGAAGCGCTTTAGACGCCGGTGAAAACCTTACCGTTGAGCGTCACCTCGCGTTGAAATAAAAACCTGCGAAACTTCCAATGGAAATCACAACCGAAAACTCCTGGAAGTTTATTTGCCGTCGAATGGCTCCTTTCACTCTAACTAGAAATTCAACAACCACCATTTCTCCAACCTTATTTTCACTGCAGTGCCAACCTTCTGCAAGGCCTAGTCTTTCAAAGTCACCATTTCTCGCACAGAGCCCACCTACTACCAAGATCTTCACCCCTACTACCATGATCTTCACCCCTGGCGTTCAAGACCGAAAGACGATACAGACATACTTCTCAGCGGTATGGTATTTTACGGGCATGGTACTCTCCTCTAACTTGGGTTTGACATTAGTCGGTGTTCTAGTTTTTGGGCACGAAGCATCTGCGTTTTTCCAAAAATTGAGCTATGAGCATGCCACTGAGAGCTATGAGAGGGTGCGTCAAGTAGCTTCCTCCAGCAGCGTCTCGAAAAAGATTACATTACAGAAGAAGGATTTCAAAGAGAAGTATCTTTTAAATAAATGGAGTTACCTCTCAACTCCCGTCCCATCCCCTTGTAATTCGCGTTTGTCCGAAAATTTAGCTTGGAGAACCTGATTTCGCAATTTTAACGATTTGGCTCCTCTTTAATGACGTGACACATGAGTAATTAGGCAATGTAGACGTATGCTCTCTCAGTGGCATGCTATTTAACGTGGGCGGTACTATCTACTAAATCGGGCTTGACAATAGTCGGGGTTTTAGTTTTTGTGCAGGAAGCATGCGAACGGACTTTCGCAATTTTAACTATTTGGCTTCTTTTTATTAACGTCACACGTCAGTAATTAAGCAATATAGACGATTGCTCTCAGCGGCATGCTCTTTTACAGGTACGGTAGTATCCTTCAAATTGAGTTTGACTAGTCGGGGTTTTCGCTTTCGGGCAGGAAGCATTCTTGTTTGTCCGAAATTGAGCTTGGAGAACGTAATTTTGCATTTTTAACGATTTGGCTCCTCTTTAATGACGTGACGTATGAGAAATTGCGCGATATAGACAGTTGCTTTCATCAGTATGACATCGTACAGGGGAGGTACAAACTTCTTACTCGGGTTCGACACTAGTCAGGGTTTTAGCATTTGGGCAGGAAGAATGCTCGTACGTCCAAACAATGAGGTAATACCGGTGAAGGTCTCGAGGTACAAACAATATTACTGGCAATAGTAAATTTTCAATTTGAGTAATACGCCATTCAATCCTCGTGAATATTATGCTTCTTTTTGTTGTGGAAAGATATTCAAGATTTTTCAAAATAACTTCTTGATTCAATGAAAAACAATTGGTCTAGGAAGAAAAAGTGCAATTTCCTATGATTTTATTTTGTATTGATTATTTTGTTGTATTGCTGTTGTCTACTGGTTTACCGGGTAATCTTAAGATTTAGACAGCTTTTCGACTGAAATTAATCTTTTACAGCGTTTTACGGAGAGCAGGCGAGAGAGGTTGCAAGGTCCTCAAGGACAAGAAAGCTGGGGATTTTAGTATAATGTCTATGATAATTTCCAGTAACAAGAAAAAAAAGAAAGATATCAATGAAGTTATATGGTTTCAGTGCACTTGACACGAAAACATCCGTGTTTGATCATTATTGAAAACCTCCGCGTTTCTTCAGTATTGAAGACATCGGCGTATAAGTTTAGTATTTCTGTTTCTCCCAAACCTTTGGCGTCTTGAAAACGCCAGTGTGAAATACCAATATCTCGGTGATTCACGAGGTATTAAACTGAGGCCAGGCGTGTAGTGAGTTGAACGGAAGTCTACGACTCTGCACGAAGCATTTGGTGAAAGGGCGGGTCATGGGGTGGCTTTAAATGTTAAAGACCAACAAGCGCTGCGGTAGCGCTGTGGATCTGGTTTCTACGCATGAGCAATGGTCACACCTGGTCATTTACCGCGAGCTTGTTCCTACAAAGCGCATCGACCTATGGGTTCACAGCTGCAGAGTGCGCAATGATATGAGGCTCTATAAAAGCGGTGGGTACACCAACTGACTTCCATTAGCTCTTCAGGATTTCTGCCGTGAGAGTCGAATGCTGAACGATCGCAGTAGATCCATGACTGTCCAGGCACTGCTGCACGGCCTCGTTGTCCTTTCTGTGGCTCTCGTAAGTTGAATCGACTACTTTTAACGAAGTTCATAACTAATCTAGGTACTTCAGTTTATGGTGACATGCCTAACAAGTGAAACGAGCTACGAAAGTTTTGTTCGGTTCGAGATGAGTACATTGGTACATATTGCAATCACTATGTTCGGACCAGGTGTCCAGGGTGGTTCAGGCAGTACTCGGGGGATAGCGTGGTTTCGTCCCAACGGGAAAAAAACGTTCAGCCTTCCCACTCTGGTGAAGAAGGAAGAGCAGCGGAGCTGTACTATGTGCCGCCGTCACTCATCGATGGCGGTAGCTGTCCAGAAGGTTGTGTCCAGATTTATTTGTTTACGGACACGAAACTGGGAAAACTAGCTTTTTAAAGCTCCGCTGTAAAAAAGCCGTAAGGAAATCTGCTGCCTAGCCTTGCCGTCGTATGGCATATCGTCTGTGATATCCTTTACGAAAACGTTACAAAACACTTAAGCACAGCAGATCAATTGTTTTCACAATGAAGCCCAAGATCTTGGCTCAGGACCCTTTCAGCCTGCTTTAAAAATTGTATCCCAGCGCATCTGCCACAATATGACAAATGCTTTCACATCAAAAGGAATTACATCGCAAGATATATTAAGGCATGCAAAATATACTCAAAATGAAGCATTTCAGATACGTTTGATGAGTTTCTTATTACAAAAGAAGAACTTACTTCCTTGATATACGACGTATATCCATGCGTCATTCGTCGCAGAAATATCTAAGTACGACCATGTCCTTAACACGTTTAACATGTAATTATGTATTACTGAAATGCCTGAACAACACGTGTTTTTTTTTCTAATTTCAGGCTTCTAACGTTAAAGGTGAGTGAGGGTTTTTCTGAAACCTAACAAAACGCTAATAAAAAAACGGACACTTTGGTTTTCTTTCTTTTTTTATGGAAGGATGGCAGAAGTAGTCGTGTCGATCCATCCTCGACGTAAATCAGGTTTAAAAAAATTAAAAAAACAAAAACAAAAAAAAAGGTCGACCTTATTACAGCTTTGAGAGCCTATACAAAAAGGCATAAAAACATGGTAGCGAAATAATTTATTACCCGCACAGAAAATGTTAAAAAATGGTTGTGTCTGCTGCAAAACCTTTTTCTCAAGCTTTAAAAAAATTGGGATCTTATAATACAAAGAGCACTAGTACACTGTAGTGTAACCTAAGTGGCTGGCGTAAAGCTCACGGTGTAGACGGCAATAGGCGTCATATTAGGGAGCTTTAGAATAGCGCACGCTAAAGCTTTGCGTACGCAAAGAATAGCGCCGTCGCCACTGCGCATGCTCCGAATGCAAACCAGGTTTTGCGCTTTGAGTGCGCAATTTTAGCGTGCGCTATTTCTCGGAAATAGCGTGCGTACGCAAAGAGTCTTTGCGCTTCTCCAAGGAGGATTCGTGATGAAAAGTTGGCTAAAGCCAAGACGAGCAGAGTTTAAAAAAATGGCGGCTTCCAGGGATTATGACGGCGGCTGCTTTGGCGGCGTCGTGAGCGCGACGTCGGCGGCATCCTCGTAACTGCGATTTTCAATACGGGACGAAGTTGTTCTCGGTTTGGCAACGCTCACCGGCAAATTGATACTTGCGACGCGCGAACATTTCTCGGCGGAGGTACGATGTGCGAAGGTTAGTACACGAGACCTCTCTTGCAGAGGCGACGCAAGCGGCCACGACTGGTCAACCGCTCGCGTCGCATTCTCATGTTTAAACAAATCTAGAATAGCACTATGAACCAAAAAACTTGTTTTCTTTCTAAAGTTACAGCATTTCGCGTGTGAAAAGAAAATTGTGACTGTATCCTGGTGCCGTCGCAGGCGCGAGATGCTTGGGCTTTTGCGTCGCGGCGGAGAAACGCTATTCTAAAACTCTCTTGCGTCGCGTGCGCTAATACAAGCGCTAAATTTAGCGCTAGCGTGCGCTAAAATTGCGTACGTTATTCTGAAACTCCCGATTGTTTCTTTACCGATAACGTTTGCGCATGCGCGGAGAGTCGGCGACAATGCTTGCTTCTTTCATCAAAGCATTTTTCTTTTTTACGCGTCTCTGGCTGCAAGTATCTCTTGGAACGCCGAAGTGAGACCCGGCCTTCTCAGCACTCATGCGTGTAGCCTGGCCGCATGACGTCATCGTTGGTGGATGCCCACCCCGCCCCTAGCGGCAAACACGCGGAAGCTGGACGAGAGCAGCCGGCAGTCGCGTCCGTCTTCGCGTCGGCGCCTGCTAACGTCGGGCTCGTTGTGAAGCGCTGCGAGAGGCGATGGCGGTGACGCTGACGCAAGGCAGACGGTGCTATGTGGATCATGGAGCCAGAGTTATTCTAATGTATTCTAGAGGGCTCAACTGGCGCCAGTGTGCTGCGGCAAACTGAGGCAGACAGCAACCGGTCGGAAATTGACTTCCGGTGATGCATTTCTAGTGGAAAAAGCGAGTGTATTTTCTCCCTGCGCTCGATTATAAGAGCAAATATCACGAACAATTCGTGCATACTAGAGAGATTGGAACATTTCGCGGTCACGCAGACGAAATATTTCGTTACTTATGGCGTTTTTGTGCTAAATTCGTGACATAAAAAACGGCGCTAAACGCACTTTGTACTTGTATTTATGGGCACCGTCGGGCATTGTTAGCGCCAACATGACGTGGGCGCTGTTCAGCATGGGGGGATTACGAGCCAAACCAGCGAAGGACATGTGGAAAACCAAGAGAGACGGAAATAGCTACGCAGTAACACTGGATCAGTAACTCCTTGTTCGTGCACACGATCAAAGTAAATTGAATGCCCCGTAATATAGTCCAATTTGAAATAAATAACTAATGCTTTATTTTTGCTGCTCATGGATATGCACAAAGATGCTTGTTCTGCATTCAAAATCGTCACCCGCATGCTCGAAAGTTTTGAAAAGAGGGAGATGCCGAAGAACAGGTGCTCAATAAAAACTGCCCGAATAAGCAAACAATAAAAACACGAGCTTTTATAACCCACACATCTTATTTACGTTTTGAATGTCTTTTTAGCCGATCGTAAAGATGCACGAAGGACTCATTTGCATTTAATGACAGGACGGGCATATAAGCACTATATAAGCACCACCAAAATGCTGGCGAGCACTGAACACACTCTAAACTTTTTTTTATCGTTATTTTACTTAGAATTGTCGCTCATTTTTCTATACCTGCTATGGAACACAGGTTTGGGTCTGAAATATAGCGAAGTTTAACGTCCTTCAGTGGTAAATAAAAATGCTCTAAAACAATTACACTTTTAGACTATTAATAAAGGTACATAATATTCGCTAAGACTCAGATAACAAAAATTATCTATGTTATTTTCCGTCGAAGAGACAAAATGCACGCGAGTTTTAAAGACTGATTCCTATCTGCTTCAATTTGAAACCCGGAAGTCGAATAGACAGGATCGCCGGTTGAACCTCTAGCCTAAATTCTATTAACTCTATGCATGTAGCTTGGTAGGAACATAGGAAGACGACATACCGGCTCAAGCCAGTTAAACGAGAAACTCCCAAATGAAGCCGGAACTAGAGGCCGCGCTCGGTGGATTTTTTTCTTGTCACCCCAGGGGGTGATCAGAAAAAAAATGAAAGACGTTTACAACTTCCTGTAACGCCGAATTAGAGCGCAGCTCTTGAGGACGAGGAGGGAAGGGACCTGAGGGGAGGGTATGCCTGACACCTCCTAGAGAAGAAGGCCGCAGCGCTCCTCTCGCGACGTTGCAAAGGAAGGCCAACGGGGGCGCGCGTCGTAGCGAAGGCAACGCGCGTGGATCAACTGTCATAACGCGCTTTTAGTCACATGCGTTTGTCTTATTAGCTAAAGTGAAAGCTGCACATAGCAACGGGTCTAGAAAACATTTTATTACACGGGGAAAATATTACATAACTAAATAATCGGTACGAGATGGCACGAGGTATGCGCAAAAGAATACCCAAGCCTAAGCATATATGTGATTGTTTTAAGTCAAAACGTTGAGTCACGCAAGTATCGATGTAGGGATGCACATTTTATACAGAAATATTTCGACAAAATGGGCAGACACGCAGTGATTGGACACATCAATACAGATCATAGTTAAAATCAGGTATACGTAGTTAAGGCGGACACCGCTAGACAAGTGTCACTTACGATTATGTAAGCGATGTTATCGCGCGCAGTCACTGAATTCTTGCATTATACCTCGGCCACACGGCAAAATTAATGTAATTTTGATCGAGTGACATTATGGGGTCGACAAATCAGTTTCTGACGCTCGTATCATTACTCAAGAGTGCGATCTGGTTAAATCCTATGTCATTTATTGAAAATGTATCAACTTTTACGTGTGGCAGGGGTACTAAACTTACTATTTACAGTTAGCTAATTTACATCTCCCTATGGGTTCGAACTCCTTTAGAACAAAATATAACTTATTTTTTATACAATATTACTATTACCTTAATACAGTTAATATTCCAGTATAGACTCAGTAAAGGCAATAAAATAACATTAGCATACATGAACACATAGTCACAAACAACGCACTTTCAATAATCGCACAAACTTCCATTGAAAACTACAATATTACCACGCATATTTACAAATATCGACGCAACTGCACACGGATAGCGAAAAAAAAAAAAAATTCATCTCTAGCACGAAAAAAAAAAAAAAAAAACGATTGCAGCATTTGCATCTCACATGACCAAGAAAGCCCGTAAATAAGTTGTTTCTCATCTTTCGATCGTATCCATACGTCCCACAATATCTGTCACGAAAACATTTCAACATAAGCTCCAAGAAGTCTCTCTCTATCGAGAGAGTGGTCTCTCGATGATCGACCAGTGTCATCGTTGGCTAGTTGCCACTCATGTCACTCAAGCCGTAGCAGGACTTGTTCTCCGAGTCCACGTAAATGCCGTAATATCAAGCGAACACAAAAACAAAAACAAAAAAAACTACTCGAGACTGTGGTGACGACAGCAAAACGACGGGAAAAAGAAAACCAGTCTCAAAAGAACCACACACGAGAGCAGCGGCGACAAAAGGCTTGACGTTGTCGACCCGTCTCTTCCTCGAGGCTCCCTGCGGCGATGGCTAGATTTTTTTTGGTTCCCTTCCCTCCTGAAATGTCTCAGCGTTCTTTTTCAGACAGTCCTCAGCTCACACACAACGTAAATTCACCAAAATCGGAACCGGGATGAGGGAAGATGTCGCATCGGTGCCGGTTCATTCGAAAAGTGAGGGGAGCTGCGGGACTGCACGTAGTCCCAAGGTTACGGCGATACTCATAAGTATGCATTTGGTACATTCAACCTTTGTAGCGCGTTACGTTTATATTACATATGCAGGTGTGTTTTTTTTAACAGATTTTTTTTTTTTTAACCATGAAAGCTAGATTAATTTGGTCTCCGCAGGTGAGTTATAGAACCATGGGGAACATAATATAGGAGACACATCGTAACGATCAGTCGGCTAATCAGATTAAAATCGTTAATTAACTTTTTAATTAATAAAAATAGTCGTATGGTTCCAATTATAAACTTGCATAGCCTCAGCGAAAACCACTTAGTCACTTCAGAAACACTTTGAGCGCGTGAGAAGCGTAGTAGTGCACTAAAGTTGCCACTCGTGGTGCAGGCACAAAGCTAGCGGTTGCGGTAAAGCGCCCGCGCAATTTTTTCGTCTCTTATCTAGCCCCAGCCTTGTACGTGCTCCACGAGTGGTAACTTTAGTACACCACTACGCTTCTCACGCGTTCAAAGTCTCTCTGAAAATTACTGATTAAGTGGTTTTCGATGACGCTGAGCAAGTTTCCAATTGAAACTATA